ACAATATTTGTTTCCAGAGAGTAAGAGATTGAGAGGAACACGGTCAGCCAAAGGGGTTTCTGTGGCTGAACCTGAGCACATAGAATGGAATGGAATAGAATAGAATAGAATAACAGAGTTGGAAGGGACCTTGAAGGTCTTCTAGTTCAACCCCTGCTTAGGCAGGAAACTCTACACCACTTCAGACAAATGGATATACAACTTCTTCTTAAAAATGTCCAGTGTTGGAGCACTCACCAGTTGTAGCATTCCCCCTGTTGCTTGTCACCTTCTTGGCACTTTCTCCCAGCAATGGATCAATTGTTCCCTTGACTTTTTTCTTGTTCTTAACATGTTCGAAGAACATCTCTTCATGAATGAAGGTGAATCTATGTGTCAAAGAATAAGGTTGTGGGATCCAATCTGGGTCGGTCGCCAGGACTAGACAGAGCTGACTTAATGCATGGGCCGGATGGCCTCTTGCCCTGTGTATGTTAACCCTTCAATGTACCTTGTATCCTATCCATACAGCAACTGTGTGGCTTACAGAGCATTACTGTGTTTTTCAAGCTCCGTGTATTGTTCAAACATTCATCATGTTGATTAATTGTTGCCGCACAGCATGTTTTGAATGTTTCAACACCAATTTTTTGGGAAATGCCAATACAACAAATACATATTTAATTTTCTCGACGATTTGCATTTTTGTTCCTGTGTGTAGTTGTCATAGGGGCCCCACTCCACTGATTTTCCCAGGGCCCATAATGCTGTTAAGAGAGCCCTGGGATCAGAACTTTTGTCTACCAAGTTTTCTGACTTATGCTGGAGCCCATCCTCAGGGAACTTCTCTTTCTAGGAATCTCCTCATTCCTAATCTATGATCTTAACCTCTACCCATGGTTAACCATGTGGGATGTGGTTGCAGAGTCGGGCTTCCCTGAATTCATAAAAAACCCCTCCTTCCCCTTTTGAAAACCAGTTTAAAAAAGAAAAAAAGAAAGCTGTCTCAACAGAGTTTTGACCATTGGGTGGAGCTCTCTCTACATAGTTGAAATATTTTAAGAGGAGAGACGATGTCAGATTAAAACTGATTCCCTGAACTTGACACTGGTTGACAGGATTGTGGACGTATCAAGCCAGGAAATGTGCTGAATTTGTGCAACAGGGTTCTCAGTTTTGAATGTTCTTTTGCATAAACCCTAAATTCTGAGGGATTGTGGACTTTCTCTTCCACCAATTTCTTGGCTGAAAAGATGATTAACGAACACAACAAATATACCATAATCTTGTGCTAAATAGGACAAAAGGGAATCAGTTCCATCAAAAATGAAGAGTGTAGCCAACGAAGTGTGAAGACTAACCTTCTGAAAGGAAACACCGACAGTAGAAAGACATGTTGCCTGAAGAAAAAATTTAGTTTAAATTTCTCAG